TCAATCTTTCAATTGATGTCATCTGATTGGCAAATGCTAATTTAAAAACCCAAAGTTTAAAGATCACTTCACTGTTTGCCGTTAAACACTAACTCAAATTGCCTAAATGCTTAAGGTTAAGTTGATATTTATCCGGTGAATAATATAAAAACACCGATAAAGGCTTGTTTTCAAATTACCTCATCTTCTTTTGGGCTACAGAAACTTTTGAAGGAAAAAAGTAAACAACTCAAATTTTTTAAACAAAAGTTTAACTCTTGTTTTTCTTACTCAATTTTTTAGAATGACCCTTCGCCTCTTTTCACTTTTCTCCTGTTTGCTGTTGGTGGTCGTTCTGGTCACCGACACTCAGGCTTCGCATCGGCTGAGGGGCCGCAGTACTACGCTTCAACATCACCGATACGATTATCCAAATAAAACTACGATTATTTCGACTACTCCGATGGCAACCACTGAAAGGCAGACTCTCAAACCTAGCACCGCTGAGAGCACCACTCCCAAACAGACCACGCTCAAGCCTAAAATAGTTACCACTCCTAAACCTAGCCCGATTACCACTCCTAAGCCAAATCCAATTACTACTCCTAAACGCAATCCGATCACTACCCCTAAACCCAAACCAATAACCACTCCTAAACCCAATCCAATCACCCCCCCTAAACCTAAACCGCCTACCACTCATAAACCCAATCCAATAACCACTCCTAAACCTAGCCCGATCACCACTCCAAAGCCCAATCCAATCACCACTTTTAAACCCAAACCAATAACCACTCCTAAACCCAATCCAATCACCACCCCTAAACCTAAGCCGCCTACCACTCAAAAACCCAAACCAATCACCACTCCTAAACCTAGCCCAATTACAACTCCTAGGCCCAAACCAATCACTACTCCTAAACCCAATCCAATCACCACCCCTAAACCTAAGCCGCCTACCACTCAAAAACCCAAACCAATCACCACTCCTAAACCTAGCCCAATTACAACTCCTAGGCCCAAACCAATCACTACTCCTAAACCCAATCCAATCACCACCCCTAAACCTAAGCCGCCTACCACTCAAAAACCCAAACCAATCACTACTCCAAAACCCAGCCCAATCACAACTCCTAAACCTAAATCGCCTACTACTCAGAAGCCCAAACCAATCACCACCCAGAAGCCTACACAGCCCCCCACTTTTAAGCCCAAAGTTCCTACCACTACCCATAAAATTTCCACCACCTCCGCTAAATCGTTTCCAACAACCACCCACCGACCCGCTACCCATGACTACCCCACCTCCACCCGTCCCACCGTTCGCCCGAATCCAGGCCCAAAAGGAGGCCCATACGAGTTGATTGTCCACGGTGAAGAGAGCTTGCATCTGCACCTCAAATGCTTCCACTTTGACCTGGATCACCACCACCTGTACAGACGAGAGCTGGTGGTCAACGCCAGTTTTGCCGCCAGTCCAAAGGGTCGTCTCAATGTAGAGCTGAAGCGCCTGGAGAAGCCTAACAAGCCAATCCC